GAATATAGGTCTCCAGCTTGGCAATCATTCTGTGAAAGGCAGAGTTATCTAATTATTTGGTAAGGATATCAGCAAGTTGATCTTTTGATGATACATGGTTGATACATACAAGACCACTGTCTAATTTTTCTTTTATGAAATATTTGTCTACTTCTATGTATTTGGTCCTGTCATGTTGGACTGGATTGTGAGCTATACTGATTGTTGATTTGTTGTCACAATATAGTTTCATTGGTTTATCCCATTTGATCTTTAGATCTTCTAGAATCATCTTGATCCATAGCATCTCACATTTTCCCAAGGCCATAGCGCTATATTTTTCTTCCGCACTAGATCTTGCCACCACATTTTCATTCTTGCTTCTCCATGTAATTAGATTTCCTCCAAGAAATGTATAGTACCTAGAAGTGGAACTTCTGTTAACTGGTGATCCTGCATAGTCAGCATCAGTGTATGCTTCTAGAGTTACTTCGTGGTCTCTTTTAAAGAGGATCCCTTTCTCTGGGTTTCCCTTAAGGTAGTGCAATATTCTGCCTACTGCTTGCATATGTGTATATTTTGAAGCTTGTATAAACTGACTAACCATATTTATAGAAAAATGCTATAACTGGTATGGTGTGGGAAAGGTAAATTAATTTCCCCATAAATCTCTGGTAAGCACCTTTATCTACATATCGATCTTCTTTCGTTTCCCCTAATTTGAGATTTGGTTCTAATGGTGTTAGTATTGGATTACATGCTAGTTTTTCTTTTCTCTTTCAGAAGATCTTTAATATATTTTTGTTGTGAAATGAAATTTCTTTAATGAAGTGAGTTATTTCAATTCCAAGAAAGTATTTTAGTATACCAAGTTCTTTGATATAGGATTCCTTTATAAGATTTTTCCTTAGACTTACTTTCTCCTTTTTATTGTTCCCCAGTCAAGCTAATATCATCCACATAGACTAGTAGTATTGTGACTTCCCCTGAGTCTGATTGTTTAAATAATAGTGTATGGTCCCCTTGACTCTGTTGATACCCATTAAGAAGCATGAATTTCAAGAATCTTCCAAACCATGCACTTAGTAAATTATTTGAGCCCATATAGATCCTTTTTTAACATGCACACCCTGTTACCTCCAGATTCCTTAAATCCTAGTGATATTTTCATAAATATTTCTTCTTTCATATCCCCATATAGGAATGCATTTTTTACATCCAATTGCTCCAGATGCCAGTTGTACTTAGCTACTAGGGAGAGTAGGATTCTGATAGTGTTCATCTTGGCTACGAGTGCAAAGGTTTCCTGATAATCAATGTCATATGTCTGAGTATACCCTTTTGCCACTGGTCTCGCCTTGTATCTTTCGAGTGTACCATCAGCTTTATACTTTACAAAGAACACCCACTCTCAACCGATTGATTTTTTCCCTGTCAATAGGTTAACAATCTCCCATGTATTATTTTTCTCTAGGGCCCACATTTCATCTTTTATGGTATTTTTCTAATTTTTATAAGATAAGGCCTCAGAAATATCATTAGGAATGTAAATATCTTCTAAAGTAGGCAGGAAGTTTTTGTGGGAGGATGAAAAGCTATTGAAGGATATAGAGTTGGTTATAGGGTATAAGGGCGATGATAAACTTACCTTCATTTCAAGAGGTGGTTCAGATTCTTGGATCAGCTTCAGATTATAGTATGAACTTGTATGACTAGAATATACCTTCCCAAATCTAATGACAGGTTTGTCTTGAGTTTCCCTCTTCTGGGTTTTAGGATGATTGGTTTTAGGTGGAAGGCCAAGAGGGGCAAGCGTACTTTCCTCATCTTCTTCAGTTCCAATCTCCCCCTAAAGATGAGGTTTGAAAAAATAGGAATTTTGTTCAAAAGTGAAATTAATGGATATAATGGTTTTCTTTGTAGGTGGTTGATAATATTTATAACCTTTTTGAGTGACTGAATATCCAATAAAGATACATTTGAGTGCCTTTGGATCTAATTTTCCTCTGTTATGATTGTGGATGTGAACATATGCAGAGCACCCAAAGATTATGGGTGTAAGGTTATTATGGGTTCAAAACTCGAGGTAAAAGGAGGGCAGAATATCCATTGGAGCTTTTATTCCCAAGGTTTTTGAAGGTAGTCGGTTTATAAGATAAGTGACAATCAGGAGGGCTCCTCCCCTTATTTAAGGTAGTACAGTCCGCCGACACCTTCTTATATTTGTTCAGCTCTTTCAGGTAGTACAGTCAAACTTTCTCCTTAGCAAATCCAATCTTCTTCCCCGATTCCTGATCCTAAAATAAGCAATAGGTCATGGAGAACACTTTAGAGTAAGAGAATGAGATAAGGGTATGTCTCCTTGGCCTTCTATTGTGGTATGAGAATCATCAGCAGTGATGACTTTCTTATCACTTAGGCAAGGATTATAGTTGGTGAAGTAGGTAGTTAAGTTTGTCATGTGATTTATGACTCTTGAGTCAATATTCCATAATCCTTTCAAATGATTTCTAGAGGCGTTTAATCCAATAGATATGGGAAACTTACCTGAAAGTGCAAGAGAGGAAGATGCTTATGGTTTGTCAAGGGATACCAGGAGTAGTTTTAGTTCCTCAATATCTTCTTTATTAAGGTCTTTGAAGCTGGTCGGTGTTTCTGGGTTAGGCTAACTCTTGTAGTGTTGGCATATGATGTGTCCCTTTTTCACTTCTTTGATTTTATTCCTTACTGGGGGGTTTTACATGTATTTTCTAGCACATCTCCTTTGTGTGTCTTGACTTCTTGCAATAACTGCACCAAAGTGAGTCTCTGTCTTTAACTTTAGGAGTCTTTACCTTTTTTCCTTTCATGGTGCTTCTCTGTTCATCACCATTGCTGAACTTTCAACCACCTTTGGCTGCAACATCACTCCTCGTCGGCTTTCTTCAGCACAAATGAGAGAAAAGGTTTTATTTAATGATCGTGTATGCTCTTTGCCAAGGATCTGGACTCATACTTGATCAAATTATATATTTAATCCAGCAAGAAAAACATAAAATCAATCTTTTTCAATAAAGTTCTTTAAGATAGCAGCATCTTCTTGACATCTAATCTCGATACATCTGTAGTGATCGAGTTCTTGTCATAGGTTTTGTAGAAATGTGGCATACTCTATCACGGTCTTACTTCCTTGTTTTGTGCTTCCTACTTTGATCTGGATTTCAAATATTTGAGCAACATCCCGAGCTTTTGAAAAAGTTTGTTTGGCGGCATCTCATATGTCCTTTGTAGTGGAAATGAACATAAATGTATTATTAATTTCTGGAGTCATGGAATTCCACAACCATGACATAATCATAGATTTTCCTTCATCCCATACCCAAAAATTAGGATCTCCTTCTTTTGGTCCTCCTCCGAGGACGTGATGTAATTTCCCTTTTCCTTTTAAGTAGGTCTTCACAAATTGAGAACGCTTTAGATATTTCTTCCTATTTAGGCAATAGGAATGTTGCATGCTTTGGAGGTCACCTCATCATTGGTGCACCATAGGATCCTCAAATTGGTCAATACTTTGGGAAGAATTAATTCCTAACATTATGGTGTCAATTGATAGTAATGATGACTATCTTTGGGTAGCAATGAAGGCTTCCTGAAAAAAAAATATCCCTCTTATTTTTAATTATGACAATAAAGGCCTATAAATAAGAATTTTTTTCCTTTCTTTTTTTGTACTTTACTTCTCGAATTAATCAAACCGAGCCGAGTCTTAAAGACTCAGATCGAGTAGCTGGGCACGCAAAAAGGCTTCGTCTCCCAAACGTTTGTCCGGTTCCGCCCGCTCAATTCGCTTCGGCCTCGGCTTCAGCTTTAGCTTCATCTCTCACACGTTCGCCCCCGACCTTCGGCTTCGTCTACCACACGTCTTCTGCTCTTGCGGTTGGTTCTTCCAAACAGGAGCAATGTGTGTCTTCCGGTCAATTAGAATCTTATGCATGCCGACATCAAGTAAGGAAGCCGCGACTGGAGAAGGTGTCGGCGGCGTCTGGTAGCTCCGATCTCTTCTTCTTCTTCTTTTTTCTGCTCCGAAGATCGACAATCTACAATCATTCTTCCACGGCAATGAAGGTTATAGGCTCTAATACCATATTGAAAACAGTAAGTTTAAGAGAGAGAAAAGCTTATTTCATTACACAAGTTCTGCCCTATTTATAGAACTATACAAGATACCTTAATAGAGAAACAAATAACTACAAAATCAGGCATTATTTCCCTCACATATTCCTTCCTAAATCAGTTAACTAACTATGGAAAGACATTAACTTGAATAAGGCATGATACAGGCGGGATTCCCACGGATCCTGATTTGAGGCCGTGGGATCTCTTCTAGAGTGACTGAGATTTAACAGTTTCTAATAATGCTTCCAAGAGCTTGATTTAAGCTCATTTGAACTAGGATTAAAATATTTTATGTATCGTTAGATTGTTATCATCAAGATGCCCGTTTCAACTATATGTTTGTTGAAAAATGAAGTCCAGACAATCTCAAAGTTACTTTACTATTTTCTGAAAATTATGTGAATATCCGTGCCCCATCACATGAATTTTCGGTGATATATCAGCCCTAAACCTCAAAAATAGTTTACTACTTCAATAAATTCCAGGAATACGTTTCCCAATTCCCACAACATTTCTTGCAAACAAAATTTCAGCTCACGCAAAGAAAGAGAGAGAGAGAGATAATCTACCATCAAACTTCGAGTAAAACAAGCCTTGATATCAAACATTTTTACAAACCAAGTAACCAGAATCAGCATTTAATAAAACAAATGTCTAAACACAAATTCAGATGGACAGATCTGATAAGAGGCAATAGGCATCAACCATACTAAATCCAACAGACACGCAAACACAAATCCTTCACAAATAAAGGATCAATAACCAAGTTCTCAACCTTAACATCACACAACCATTAAAGCCCAAAAATTGTACAATCCAGATGGATCAATTAGAACTGAAACAGGCAAGGAGAGACGAAAACATACCATTGAATCCACTTTTGCCAGCCAACCCAAGAAGTGAGATCAAATCCCGAAAATCTTCTCGACGCTTTCTCTCTAGCTGTAGACTCGATTTCATTCTAATAACAGAAGAATCCAAGCAAGAAAATAGTACTGAAGTCAAACGAAAGCGGAGCCTCCCTTATGTCGCTTGAATTGAGAAACCCAAGTCAGTAATCCTCAGCTCGCCATGCTTTCACTTGCATGCCATTTCTTCGTTGGAACAGATGAGGTGGATGAGGAATATTTCGGCCATTTCAAGCTTTAATCCATCGAGCGTCGACTGGCGGGGAGGACGGAGAAGGGCGGAGACAGTAAGACAAAGGAAAGGGAGCAAAGTTCAACGAATCTGAGCTAAAACGTCCCGATGGAATGAACGAAAAGGTGCAATTTGCAGTCCCAACTTACCTCGCCAACATGTAATTTTATATTGATCGATCAACCCCAAAATGATGGTGCATTGCAATTTCGGCCTAAATTATGGAGAATTTGTAAATTATTTTTATGTTATTGATCGCACATGATGAAGCCAAATTTTCCGCTCAAAAATTATACGACTCATGAATTGAGCTAACAAGTTCAAAAATTATTTAAAATATAAAAAAAAAGTTTGAAATTTAAAAATTTAAGTTGAAAAGATGGTCTGGTTGTAGTAAATTTAATGACACAATTATTATGTGCGGACACCGAATGCAGTTCATCGTTCAGAGGCTAACCAGAATATGCCACGTCAGCGGTGCCGAGTCGGGTACCGAGCAGGGGGTGACGTGGTGCATTATGATTGGTCTCCGAACAGCATTCGGCGTCCGCACAGAATAATTTCACCTAAATTTTTGAGAGTAACAGACAATTGACTCACTAATGTAATATCATCTCGTCATGAGTATGAGTGCCATAAAAAAGCTTTTCATTTGGGAGGAGCTCACGTTTTACTCGTTATGAAGCTCATGTTCGACTCGATCATTCGGCAACGAGTTGCGCTTGAACAGACATTTAAACTTATTATCTTGATGCATCGAATGCAAATAAGGCTATGATCAATTGTGTTTGACTTGATCATGGCTATGTTATGATGACCTGATTATTCAAAATCATTCAAAAAAAACATATATTAGGTATAAGCTCTTATAAAAAAATGTATCCCCGATTTTTTCCATTTTTGTCATATACATAAACTTCTATCAATGCTGAAGTCTTAAATTTGTAAACCTCCTATCATGAATACTACATTATGTGATAAATTGGTGTCATCTATTGGAATACATTCATGTCTTAGTTGATTAGTGGATCTGGCATTTATTGATCTTTAGGCACTAGAACTTTAACACCCCCAATTTGGACATCCATTACAATTTGATCTATTTAATGTTCACCCTTTTGTAAGGAATGGTGCCTTGCCTTGATAAAATTACTTTAAGATTGGGATAAGAGTGGGTGACCCTAACTATAACCTCAAAAAGATGTTCTCAACAAAGTGTGGGCATGATTGTAATTTAGTGGTACCTTTTCATTGTTATAAATAGATGCAAAATAAATTGTTCAACATATTGAGATAAAAATATATATAAGAACCCTTTGATCCTCAATAGAGTCAACCCCATTTGTCTTCCCATGTGCATGAAGTCATAAATGCCAAGTTCATGAGAAAAGAATGATTGTATAACCTATCCACTCTATTACCAACCTCTAAAATGCATTAATAATATAAATTTATGATCTTACTACATGAAAAACGGAGTTTTTCGGTGACCATTTCCACCTGAAAATGACTAAAATCCGTTGATGATTACTATTTCCAACAGATTTCTAACGGAAAATTTTTGCCAGTAAAACACGTGTCGGAAAACAAATTCCGACAGAAATAACCCATTGGAGGAAATCATACGTTTGAAATTCTGACTGGTAGAAATTGCTGGAAGAAAAAAATATTTGAGCCCGCCCACCCCAACTGCATGCCAATCGAGTCCACCTGCCTTCCCATGAAGGCTGCCCACTAGGTGCCCTCATTCATGCATATTGCCCGCATTATTCCTGCGTGCTACCTACCAATAACCATTGCTCATTGCCCTCATTCCCGCACTCTACATGCCCGCTGCTCGTGTGATTCAAACCCAGCTCCTACGAGAAATAATCTTTAATTTGGCAATAAGTTATTAAATTACTTAATTTTATTTAACAAAATGAATAATTATAAATACTTAATATAATTACTTTATAGAAAATTTTAAATTCTATCGAAAATCCGTCGAAAATATTCCACCAGAAATTTCCGTCAGAAATTTCCGTCGGAAATCCATTGAAATTATATCATCAGAAATCCTCCAGAATGTTCGACATAAAACTTCCGCCAGAAATTCCATCGGTAATTTGCATTTTTCCTGTAAAGCCTTACCCTGGTGGGAAGCTTTATCTTCTTTGATTCTTTATACAGCGTAAGCATCAGCATCATAACAAGGTTCTCATCAAAATTCCATAAGACGACTCATCATTCCATGAGTTTTACAAGGGCATAAGAAAAAAATAATATATGAAAATTACACGATAAATTTGTAGAACTTATTTAAGTATTTTAATAACCATTGTATTCGAATTTGAATCAAATTCCTCATCAAACCGAAGCCTTTTATGCTTCTCTAATCATTATCACCTTGTTTTCACCTCAATTATCTCCTTGGAGACCTACATCATTATAGTCATTGTTACCTCCTTTGAATAGAGGAAATTGGTTCACTAATAAGGTGGCATCATATGGCTTATGAGGAAGTGGTGTTCCTTAGAAAGGGGATGAAGAAAGATGAGTCTTTGATCCAATATACTACAAAAACATTGATAGAGATGAGTTAATAAGGGATCAATGAGAAGAGAAAATAGAAGGAAGATAAGTTTCTTTTTCATATAAATTTTTTTTTTCTTTCTTTTGCACTTATTTATGAGTAAGATTGAAAAATAAATAAAAGAATCAAAATTAATTTGCACTCTTTCATCCAATTTTTGATCAAATAAATTATAATTATCTCTCATTGATATCCCCTAAACCCTAAATCTAAATCAATCATAATAATATGTAAATCAATAAAAAATTTTGTTTATAAAAACAAAAACATGAACCAAAAAAAAAAGCAAAAAAAATAAATAATTCACATGAAATTTTAATAATAATAATAAATAATGAATGAGTGGAGACACCAAAGCCTCCGGTGTCTGGATTTATCCGGACACTAATCCAGACGCGTCATGTCACCAAAATACATCGAGATCCAGTATATTCGGATGATGTCACGCGCTTGAATTGGGTGTCTGGATATCCGGTAACATAACGTAATAATTCGCCCATGTTGAGAGCTGACCTAACAAAACCTTATTACACAGCTCACCTTGACTTGTTGGTTGAGAGCTTATGCTTCCAACTAAGAGGTCTTGAGTTCGAGTCTTTGTGTATGCGTTGTGTGTGTGAGTTTGCCTTAAATGGCCTAAATGTCCCCAAAAAAAAAAAAAAAAACAAAACCTTATTAAAAAAAAGAGTAAAGAATTATAGTGGACCCCACAAGCAAACAGGTAACCCACACGTGTTATTAGCAACCATATAATATTTTGTGAAAGGGATTTGGAAATCGGAATCGGATGCTGCACAATTCTCACGGTACGTACAGTTGCGATTATTTTATTTTAATTGAGTTATTTATTCTAATTGACTAAATAAAATTGTAAAAAAGGCGTAATTAACGTGATAAAATTATATTTATGTAATTATCATTATAATTAAAGAGCGAGTAATCCGTGGGAAGGTCGAACTTTTTAGGGCGATAGCTTTTATGGCTTTGAAAATGGCTTTTTATTTAGTTTGAAATTAATTTTTTTCATTGCTTGAAATCATAATTATTGTTATTTTATTAATATTTAGATATGAAATAAAGCATTTTCGACACTTCAAAATATTATTATTTTTTTTATTTGTTTATGTGATGACGACGATGACCTTCATCGGTTGCCGTAGGGGTATCAATATTTGACATGATTCAAAAATTCGATTTAAATCCGACCAAAAAATTTCAGGTTCAGGTCAACCTGAACAAGGTCGGGTTCGAGTTAAGGATTTCGACCCGTTTGCAAAATCGGGTCGGGTTGGGGTTGACCCGGAAACCTGAAAGGCCGAAATCAACCCGGTTTGACCCATTTTTAATTGATTTAAGAGTATTTTAAAATATTATTATGAAATAAGTAAATACTATTTTTAAAAAATAATAAATCATACTGCCCAAATTAAATTAAGCTTGATTTATTTTAAATTGATTAAAATAAATCTTACCTTAATTCGATTTATGTTTAAATAAATTGAATTAAATAAAAAAGTAGTAAAACATACCCGAATCGAGTCTGGTTCAGGTTTGAAAAACAGACCTGTTTGTAAATACTGGTCGAGTTCGGGTCGGGTTGAACAATGACGGGTCAATTTCGGGTTGGACTCGAACCCGACCCGTGACCCGATTTTGACAGCCCAAGGTTGCAGTGGTTGCTCACAAAGATAATAGTGATAGTTGATGATGATAGTTGATGACAGTAATGATAGCGATGAGCTATTATAATTACTTTGAAATACTTAGAATGTTTGAAATTTATTTTTTGTGTTTTAAAAAAATAAGTTAAATTATTTAAAAATAAAAAAAAAATAAAAATAGTAAACAAATATGCCTTGAAAATAAAAAATAAAAAAGGATATCTAAGTTGTGATAAGAATCCTCTTTAGTTGAAACGTTCAACACCTTCATTCAAAGAAAGTGATTATAGATAATGATATTGATTTGGTTGAGTTTGTAGGGAAGAGCATAGGAAACATTTATTATGCTACTTTTAGGTTAGCTTATTCAATGATAGGCTGATGACATGACTCATTGGGTTTAATTTTATGAATTGACACATTGGAGGTAGCTTTTTAGAAGGGCAATATTTAAGATGGGGTTGTTAGGTTCATTGGATTGCACTACAGGAAAATACGCTATTACCGGCAGACAATATCCGCCAGTAACACGTAAAATCCGATAGAATTCCTTGGTTTCCGACGCAGTTCCATCGGATTTTTGTCCGTCGGTTTGGTGCGCGTCGATAAATGTCCGCCGACATTTATAATGCGCCGGAAACCTTTCCGGCGCACTCTCCGGCGCATTACCGGCGCAAAATATGCTAGAAAAAATAGCGTTTCTCAATCGGTAATTCCAGCGACGTATGCGTCGGTAGTTTACGTCGTATTTATACGACGGAAACTACCGGCGGATAAAACGTCGTAGGTTCGCCGTAAGTAAGCTACGGCTTGTTTCCGGCGCAAAAACGGTGCCGGAAATTGATTTATAAGGTTTTGACTTATGGACTAAGTTTAGGTTGCATGCCTTGTAGGTTATATCTTTTAGAGATGGACAAT